CATTCTACGTGATACTGGCTACTCGGCTCATCACCGTGGCCACAATCCGCCTGACACGAACTCGTGATCAAGGTGTTCACATAGGCGGCGATTTCCGAGAGACCAGAAGCCATCACCTGGCTCTGCGCAAGTAACCGCAAGCTACGAAGGTTTGCTAGTGCAGTGATTTAGCAAGACCAGAACACTAGGCGATCTGCCTTGAGGCAGACGTTGCATGCCCGACGACGAGGACAGGCCCCAATGATCTTCCTGACGTACAAGTACAGTGGACAGTGCAATCGCCTTGGAGGCAAGACCCATTGAAGGACCCCAATTTTCGATTTGAACTTCTGGATCCTCTGTCATCCGACAATGTCTCCGACAGCGTTCATCATGGATCACTGGTACCCTGACCCATGAAGCAATGAAGCCCAAGGTAGTCATGAGTCTCTTCATGCAAGCCCCTGTATCCTGCATCATGCAGTCGGTCGCAGTGGAGGCGCCCTCATGCGATGCCGCCGCATGCGCTGCAAGGCTTATCGCATATCGTCGTGGCACCTTGCGTCTCCGAAGATGGCAGGGTTTGCATTGGTGGCTGTGCCACTTAACACGGCAAGCAGCCCTCGATGTGGCTTATGAATTCTGGAGTCAGTGCGACCGGGCATGAAGTCAAGCTGCGGGACCTGCAAAGGCTTCTCTCCTCAGTGATGCAGGAAAGACTTCTGCCGGACATGCTTGCAAGTGGCACTGCTCGCGACTGCACAGGGACGAACACAGCAACTGAGAGCTTCTCCAAACACATTGAGATGACAAGTGTTAACCTAACCAAGTTCGGCATCATGCTGGCTGCTAGCGAGGTTCGCAAGTCGCTCGCCGCTTTGAAGGGTAGCTCCAGGCAGCAACAGCAGTACCGAAGCGCCCCCTTCGTCCTGATCTTGATCGGATGTTAGGGTCTGACTTGATACAGCAGCACCGTGCAGTCCTCGTCAAAGCCAATCACACCGTGGTCTTGCGATTGCCAACCCATGCAGTCTGTCAGGGAATTACCATGGATGGCCACACCCAGTACATGGGTAGAACACTTACTTGTAACTTTTCTGCTCTTGGATGTAACTTTGCAGCTTTCTCAGCCCAATTGACTCAGTTGTAACCTTTTTGGGCTCCGGAAACAGCAAATCTCTGCAGAAGGTTGCAAAACATGCATCTTGTTTATAACTTTTGTTGGCGTCTTTAGCACCAGACCACTAACTTGTTATGGTGTATTAGCTTTTTCTCCTTAGGGGTTTCGTCTTCGGCCAAGGGTTCCTGCTGGATTCACTCCTTCGGATTTTCGTCTTCGGTCAGAGGTTTAGGGTTTTCGCCTTGGAAATTCACTCCTTAGGGTTTTGGTCTTGGGTATTGACTCCTTAGGTTTCTCGTCTTCGATCAAGGGTTCCTGCTGAATGCACTCCTTCGGGTTGTCGTCTTGGGGAAAATGTTCAGGCTGGATTCACTCCGAGCCAAGAAAGAGGTGGGTTTCTGCCAGAGCTGTGCCCACAGAGCCGTACGATCCGGAGTCATGTACTGCATCTCACTTGGAGGCCCTCCGCCCTCGACGAGCCTCGCCTCCCGGATGGAACGGGAAGGGCAAGTCGATCGAATGGGATCCTGTCATGCTGGTGAGACATGGGTGAAGCGTGCACACACTGCATGAAATCATATCATGCCATTTCATGTCCAAATCGACACACAGAATCCTTCGCCGATCTCGTGCTCCACTTCATGCAGCAGCCAGTAGCCTGCCAGTGGCGTGGATAAGCCAAATCGGCGACAGCTTTGCATCTCCTGCCTGTTGCTTCATCTTGTGACACTTGCGGCTTTGGGTCCGGTCGGAACAGCCTTGGCGAGAGCTCTGAGTCGGTGGAAGTGATATGCTTGGTTTAAGCACAGACAGCAGCGTTGCCTTGTTGGCTTATAACCGCGGATGCTTGGCAAACAGAAGACAAGTGGCTGCAGCCGCAGCCGCTGCGACGCAGAGGCAACGAAATCCGCCCTGGTACGTCGCGAAATTGACAACACTTCCCTGGTAGCTTAGAGTAGGGCCATGTGTTCGGGCTGCTTGCATGTCTTAGTAGCATATCATATAACCATAAATGTGCGATTTGCCTTCAACCTTCGAAGGGTCACATACTGGCAAGGGCGATGGAGGTGCTGCTGCAATGTTGCAGTTGGGCTTCTCACGATGCCTGACGTGGTAGATGACGCCGTCATCCAGCGGAAGGCATAGCTGGTGGTCGATCACCACGAGCCCTTCGGGCGCCCAGGGTTTACAAATCTCGACGTCTACAAAACTATAGTGACTATCGCTACACCCCCTCTATCCCAGGCACAAAGCCCGAATTTATCTCTCGGCTTCCTGCCTTGAGCGTGGCTGAAGAAGTCAACATGCTGCCCAGGTCCAAGGAGTGATCCCAAGAGCAATGCCATATCGGGGCATCGGAAAGCAAGACTTTTTGTCGGGTTCTGCTACGCTGAAGATCGTTCCACGCAAGGATGACATCAGCTGCACAAACGTGTCATGAGACATACTGATGCCCATGAAACAGCCAGACGTCTCGTCCAAATGGATTCGGGCCGTGTGGCGACAACGACTGTTTGGGCGGTGCTCCAGCACAGGTTTCTGGCAACACAGAAGATCGCGGACTTCCACATCGAGTAGCTCTTTTCTTTTTACAACATCAGCACCTGAGGTTTAGATGCAATGTTGGTTTGAAACAAGTGATTCGGATGAACGGCGCTCTGAAAGTGATGCAGGCCGTGGACCACTTAGCGGCTTGGCCAACTCTGCTTGTTGGGCACAAACTCCAAATCACTTGCATGGCGCGAGATCTCTCACAATTTAGAGATCCTCGAATATTTGCAGTTATCAGCAGGTTCAGACAGCGCCTCATGTGGGATCTCTTCCAAGTAACTACTCGGGACAATGAAGCACGTCTGAAAATGCATGATCTCAAAACTTGGTAAGCCCGTGCCGCAGCAAAGGCAATGATGCTTTCTACATGTGCTCTCGTGCAGATGTTGCAAATTCAAGCTACCTACCAACAAAGTTGTAGATGGGGGCGAAACCTATTCAGAAATGTGTGTGTGCACATGTAACATGCGTATATATATATATATGTATGTGTAGATATAGATGGCTCCACAGCCCATTGCCCCAGAAAATCCTCAGGCATGTGGGTGCTGCCGATGCACGGAATTCGCTGTCGGAGGTCGTGACGGAGGCCGCGACCTGCATAGGAAGTCAGACAAGGCAAAAGCTTTGCTTGAGATTCTTATGCAGCTCACTCAGATCAGCGACCTTCAACAAACAGTTCGGGCACCAGACATGAGCTCATCGTCGGTGGACAGGATCAGCAACGCTAAACTCGAGTTAGACATCTCTGGTGGGCCGAACAGAAAGCATGAAGAACGGCTGCACGAGCCGGTCTTAGTGTTGATTTTGTTCTCGCAAGCCTCATGTTTGCTGTCGTTCTTCAACTAGGATTGCCGGGCTGTCGCAGGGGGTGGATGTTGAAGATACATGGGCCCGGAGCAAGGCGGGCGTCCTGCACAATCCTGCGCTGTTGCTTCAGCAACAATTTCTTGGCCTCTGTTACCCATGCAAAACTTGCAGCTTCGATCTGTCATCATTCCTCTTCGTCATTGACTGCACCTTCTCGGCACAAGAGCTCCTGTGTCTCCCGCTGGGTTAATTACATCTCTTTTGTGCTCTCCGGCTATCCATCCCCCTAAACTGCAAAGCCTGGAGGCAGTTCCAGGGCGGCTTGTTGCACGTGAAGGGGCCTGGGACGCAAGTGACCATGAGCGGCTGCACCGCTTCAAGATCCAGTATCCCAGCAAGTGTAGACCACATCGTCAACCCGAGCCGTGATCACTGACTTGCCAAACCTTCAGAGCACTTTTCTGGCAGGCTCAGCATCCTGCAGATATGCGCACGACAGGACGCCCTTTGTGCGTGGGCCGGGCATAGGGCGGCCTTTGATCGTTGTCCGAGGCTACGCCTCTTCTTTGCTTCGCAAAGACAGAGGGTCTCAGCCTTGAGGGAACGCGAGTGCCCCAAAACCATGTGGCAAGTGCAAGATGCTACAGCTTGATTGTGTCAACAACACGAGAGTGGGCTGTAGGCCTGTGAGTCATGGCAACTCTTCAAACCGATCTGCCACCACGTGGTTAGGGTCGCAGTAGGCGGAGCTTCTGAGGTTCTGGAAGGCTTTGCTGATTTCGTAGCCTGGCTTCAGGTGTGTTAGGGCTGCTATTCTGTATGGCTTTGTGGGAGTGCATCAATTCCAGACGATACTTCATAGTCCGAGAAGTCTTGTGCTTGACTCACTGATCAAGAAATTAACACGTTGTCGCCGTAAGTGTGGCGGCAGTTAAGGCCATTACACACGATGCCAGCAAACGGTAATCTCCAACATGGCTTAGCTTGGTTTGGGCCTGGGAGAAGGCAGTATAGATGAACGTAAAGGACTGTCTCCATCAGCAAGAGGGGATCGGAGGACTACATAGGGGAGCATGCAATGCACCAAGGGACAGGCGAATGAAAGGACAGCGGGACCAGGCACCAAAGGATCATCGAGCCAAGCCTTTTGGAACAAAGGGAAGAGCGAAACGGCTAAAAGGAAAAGCATGTTCAAGTCGTACCACGGTAAGACTGCTGCTGGATGTGTCGTCGACCAGCTTGTGGCCACTTGGGCCCACAATTTACTTGAGTGCTTTTTTCTTGCCCCAAAAGCAACCCTTGAGTACCCGTGGCGCTGCCGACTGTTCCTGTCCTCAAGATGTTTTTGCAGCGGCTTGTTTGGGGGCAGTTCGTACTGTCAGAACCCAGCACTTACATCACCCGGATGGATCCCAATAAGTGCTGGTGATATTGCGTAGGTCTAAATCAGAGTCAAACCACCAGGCTGTCTTCAGCGATGAAAGCACTCTTGGTTGGAATTCTCAAATGCAGGGAAGTCGTCTCGCACCGCTCGGCTTGACTATCTTCCACCCGGACCACTACCAGTGCCAGGACCCGTGCCGGTGCCACTTCCGCTGCCACTGGGGCCACTGCCGCTGCCAGTGTCGTCACCAGAACCATCATCTCCATCCCCGCTTGGGCCGCTGCCACTGCCAGTGTCGCCGCCAGAACCGTCACCTCCATCCCCGCTGGGGCCGCTGCCGCCACCAGTATCATCACCGGAACCATCATCTCCGTCTCCGCTGGGTCCGCTGCCACTGCCAGGGCCACTGCCACTGCCAGTGTCGCCACCAGAACCGTCACCTCCATCCCCGCTGGGGCCGCTGCCGCCACCAGTATCATCACCGGAACCATCATCTCCATCTCCGCTGGGTCCGCTGCCACTGCCAGGGCCACTGCCACTGCCAGTGTCGCCACCAGAACCGTCACCTCCATCCTCGCTGGGGCCGCTGCCACCAGTATCATCACCGGAACCACCATCTCCATCTCCGCTGGGTCCGCTGCCACTGCCAGGGCCACTGCCACTGCCAGTGTCGCCACCAGAACCGTCATCCCCATCTCCGCCGCCCGAACCATCATCCCCATCCCCGCTAGGACCACTTCCGCTTGGGCCACTGCCGCTGCCGCTTGAGCCGCTTCCGCCGCCACTGTCGTCGCCAGAATCATCTCCATCATCGCCAGCACCGTCATCTCCACCATCTTGGCTACTTCCAGAGCCACTTCCACTGCCACTGCCACTTCCACTTCCAGTGCCAGTACCACTATCAGGGCCGCTACCACTGTCTGGTCCAGATCGTCCGAAGGAGATGGCTTGGACTGACAGTCCTGAGCTCGCATCTGCAAATGGCAATTTATTTCAACAGGAAGCTTGCGTTCTCGATTCGCCCAAACATGCATGCCCTTCGGAAGCGATGTTGCATCGAGGGGCCCCAAGCGGCTGTGTTGACACCCAGCCCGTCCAATGTGGCGACGAATGACGAAGTCATCTGAGGGTATGGGGACAGCAGCGATGAACACAACAGCAGGAGGTCTCTTCTACCGGCCTGGCTGGATTCCGCGGTTTGGAGGTTGTTTTTGATATCGTCTTCGTCCATGTTGCCACCGATCTGGAAGATCTCAAACCTGCAGCCATCTATGACAGTGCTAAGTGCCAGAATATGGGGGTTGATCGATATTATTGTTCCGATGAGTGACCATTTAATACCCCTTGCGCTCGCCCTTGCGCACTCTTGCGCGTTTCTTGCGCACACACGAGTTTTTGCATATGTGCATGTTGTATGATCATGAGCTACGGTATGTTGAGTACCAAAGCATGATCCATCCGGCAGAAGGGCTACGAAGTCGATATGACTTTTTGCCATGGCGGGTTTTTCAACGCCCCTATGCTGAGTTCAGAATGTTTGGGCTGGTCTGTTTTGTACTGACAGCGAAACCCATATGAAACGATAGGGAAGGGCAGGGCATGCAGCGGGGGCAGGGCGGGGCAGTGGCAGGGCGCAGGGCAGCCCTGTACGGCGGCAGAAGGGGCAGTGGGCACAGGGCAGAGCAGAGGGGTCCCAGCCCTCCCTTCCCGTGTGTCCCCGCAAGTTGCAAAATTTCAATTTTGAGCATTTCAGGGGCTGAAAAACTCACACTGGCACTTTTGCAACTTCTGGGCAAGGTAGGGCAGGAAATAGAACTTTTGCAGCTTCTGGGCAGGGCAGGGCAGGGCAGATGGGGCCCAGCCCTCCCTTCCCGATTTAGTTGCAAAATTTCAATTTTGAGCTTTTCAAAGGTTGAAAAGCTCAAAATGGCACTTTTGCAACTTCTGGGCAAGGCAGGGCAGGAAATGGAACTTTTGCCACTTCTTGGCAGGGCAGGGCGTCCCCCGCAAGTTGCAAAATTTCAATTTTGAGTTTTTCAAGGGTTTCCTGCCCTGAAGGCAGGGCAGGAAATGGAACGTGTGGGGTTGGGCCCAACCCTCACTGGGTTGAGTTCTGTTCCGGAGTGATGCTTGCATGGAGCTAGGGAGGCACATGCAGGCAGTGCCGCTTCCCTCCCCGTCCCACTTCGCTCAAATGGCTTGTTTCGGAGCGCAAGCCTTGTCGGGAATGGGAGGGGCTGACGCTTAGGGTTCTTTCTCCTTTCCTGACACGACAGGCGCAGCAACCGAAAGCGAGCATCATGAGTATCTATGACACCCACAAAAGCAAGGCGGGCAGAGGGCCCCACCACAGACCGAACACGGCGCTTTCCTTCTTCCTTCCTCGTGCTTTGTTTTCAAGGGCGCAAGGGGGCAGAGCACAGCCAGAGGGCAGAGCAGAGGGCGAATCACAGGGCGGGGCATTAACGTGGGCCCAGCCCTCACTTCTCCTGTCTGTCCCACGCAAGTTGCAAAATTTCCCACCCCACACTTCATTCAAACCCAATCAATTACATTATGACATTTCATGTTCTGATATATAGACATATTACTGCCCTTGCGCGCTCTTGCGCTCGCCCTCGCGCGTTCTTGCGCGCCACCATGTTTCGAAGGCAATTTCAATAGTGACGATATGAATAAATCGCCCCTGTAAAGCGTCCAGAGACGGGGGTTTAGATCAACCCTCATATGAAATGTTGCTCCGATGTCAAGCCGGTACAAAGAACAAGGCCATGCTGCCAAACAGAAACTAGACCGGGCCACTCCAGCTGCAACATCGCGAGGCGTCTCCCCGGAACGCCGCCGAGTTCCTCAGCATGCATGCAAAGAGAATCTGAGAATCTTGTGCGCCCATCCCTGTCATGTCATGCATAATGTGATGATTTGTTGCAGTCGAACCGTCTGCTTATCGACTGCTTCCTGTTTGCTCCAGCATGTGCGTATATGCGCGTATACAAACGTCGGACCTGTTCATGCTGGCTTGGCCAGCTGCGAGCATCCGCTTGGCACGCCGACCGGAGGCTCCGGGGCAAGGACTGCTCAAGAATGCAACGCGTATCCGACATCACCAGAAAAACACTACCACACATTGACAATTTCTTCTCAAGGGCCACGGCAGACTCTTCCCTGCTCTGCCCGGGAAGTTGGAGCCAAGTACTTTTTAGGGAGTTTTCTCGGCTTGGGCGAGTCGGGCTTCGCCGAAAGCCTGAAGTTATGCAATCGCATTGGTGGACAATCCTGCTATTGCAGGGCTACGATGGGAGCCCAAAAGGAGTACCTAGACAACAACTGTTAAAGGTCGAGTCCTGCCCAAGGGCGCAGGTTGCAATAGTTTATGGTCCATTTATGGTTGTGTGAGTTTCATCACTTGTAGCCACTTGTAGCCATTATGCAAACCCAAGGCACTGTACGTGCGGAAATTCATCATGTCGCACATGCATAGGCAGAGGAGCTGAAACGACGGCAAGGTGCTTTGGGGTAGACCATCCATGGCTCAACACCATTTCCAGCAATCCCAGCCTGAATTCAAGACACTCCCACATTCTGCGCGAGCTCGCAAACAAACCTGCTGAGAACTGTTGGGGTACTGTCTTGTGTCCACGAACGAAAGTCGTCCGCACAGATTGCCATGCAAGAGTTGCATGGTGGGCCAAGATCGGTTTCCAGGCTAAGGAACGACCAGCTCCTGGATGGCGATGCCCAGGGAATTCACATGCCTCAGATGCTCCAGTCCAGCCTTGGACTGGTACTGCCGACGAGAAACTGTATTTGAAGGCCCTTCAAGGAAGCACAAGCCGGACTCAGCCAGGCTGGACAACATCACATTCCAATCACAACATGAGTGCACACAACAGCGTCGTGACTTGGAAAGGGCGAGCTCATCTCGCTCACTCAACAGCACCAGCGGCTTCCAATCTGAATTCGAGGTGCTGTCATGGCTGGGACTAGGATCGATGACAGCAAGCGAGGTTGCTTCGTGACCCCATTACACGGTTCAGGGTTTTGGAGGTTCGGGGTCCAGAAGAGGTAACTTGCAACAAAAGAGCATTGAAAACAACAATACCAGGCAATGCCCAGGTGCGCAAGCAGCAACGTAGGATTGTTTACGTCCAGGACGAGGCTGCCTGCCCGCTCATGGTTGGCACTTTTGGCTTCAACTTTCAACGCTTAGCCTGTGTAAACGTTTGCACGAGCACTGGTAATATAGACGCTAGTTTTGTGTTCACACTGCTTGCGCGATACGACCTCGACCAGTCCAACACCAGGTGACAGCCCCAGGTGGGGTGAGCTCATGACTATGGCGGTCCATCAATCACCACTGGACGCGTCAGCCTTTGCGGACGCAACTCGAATTCGGTGATGCGCCTTTCAATCAGCAATGGGCAATTTGCCCATAAGTACGGTGTCGAATATTCGAGCGTCGCAACTTCCCTTTGATGAATGTCCCGCTGTCGCTCTACCAGCTTTGGAGATTCCCCAGGGCCACGCGTCGCAAAGAAAGTGGGGTCGCCGGTTTGCGAGTCCCTGATAACACTTCTATCGAAACTCCAAGCCCCCACTGACAACGGCTTTCAAGATGTGAGAATGCTCGGCCACTGAAAGCGCTGCACGAGTTGCCGGCTGGCCTTTGATCGTTGGCGCATTCTCAGGACAGTAGTACTGATTGTTGGCAAAAAGACAATCCTTAGAGCCGCTCATGGATACAATCTGCACCGTGGTGGACACTCAGGCAACGGGCACTGAGTTTCTGTTACGCTGCAAGTCGGACAAACCAAGGGAATGTGGTCGAAAACGTTAGTTCAAGCATGAGAGCGGTACACACTTCTTCAAGTCATGCGGGGAAATGCGGGGAAAGCTTCCAGTCGCAGGATCAGCCGGATGGAGTTTGCGAGGGGTTCTAGCAATTCTAGCACGTAAAGCAAGCCCAGGTCGAATGCCCCTTCTTCTGTGATAAACTCCAAGTCCTCAAACCGCTTGTTTTTGCGTCAAAGCTCCTCCAGGTCGTCGCAAGTCCGCCCCAGTGGCAATGGACAGGTGCTCTCTGCAGGACCTATTTTCAGCTAACAACATCCCGCCGCATAGTGCTCTTTCGGAAGAACATCTTCGTGCAGGCACTCAGTTGCAGCTCGTTTCGAGGCTTGTCGAGCCAAGAGGCTGTTCCAGCCACAGGAGCCTGGAGGCGCTGATCAGAGAAATTTAACTACTGTTAATATTATATATATATATATTCACTTTATTTTAGAGGATAAAGAATAAAATAAACTTGAGAATATGTCTGCAGTCTCAAAGGGGACGAGTCATGTGTGGTGTGCTTTCATGGTCCCCGTGCCAACTCCGTCCCGCATAGTATCCCCACCCTACTTGTACTGCAAGCCCCTGAGCCCCAAACTGGCCTGAATCCTGAAGTTTCAGCCCTGAACAGCAGAACCCCCCTACAAGGGAGGAGAGGGAAACCCTAAACACTCCACATCCGGAAGCTGAAGCCCGAAACCGGAAGTATGAATGTGACGGGGGGGGCAACATCAGCACAGATGTGGGGTCCTAGGTCCTCGGTTATAGGGCCATCTGGTGCCCGGACGGATGTCGTCAGCCTGTCTGTATATCCTCCGTTGCTGACAAGCTTCAAGATTCAGGGCAGTAGTGCGCGACAGTCTTCCAGTGCCAATCGAAAGTGGTGTTCCACTGATCACACGTGCCCCAGCTGATGTTCCTGGGCAGCACAAAGAGTGGAATCCAACATTTGCGCAAACAGACCTCGAGCAGTGCAAGGCTCCCGAGGCACTGTTCCCATTAGCAACCTGGTTTAGACATGCCTAGGCTAGGTCAAAGCCGACCCCCCAACAGGACCCGAGCATCTCTGCAGAAAGATTGGCGGCGAAGCCGCATCCGTGCTCCCACATTGCCTGCGCGAGAGTGGCCAGCAAGAGGCCGAAAGATGCGAATCAGATCAGGAAATCTAGAAAATTGATCGCGGGTTGTCTGAAGCCTGGACTCTGCCCTGGCTGTCTTTGACAAGAGAGATGCACACGGCAAAGCAATCTTTTCAGCGACATGAGCACTGAGTAAAGTGCCGTGCAGAAGGGGGGGCCACTTAGAGTGTGCTGACGGCAAGCTTCTGATGGAAGTGTCTGAGCTCCAAAGGACATCCTGCAATCTGGGCATCTGGGCCAAAGACAAGATCGGCCTGTGCCAGGAGGGCTGCCTCGGGCTTCCCCAGGAGGTTGCCCTCCTCCTGGCTGAATGCCTCCGGCCCAGAGCTGTGTGCAAAGTGCTGCGAGGTGCGGAGACATAAGGTTAGGCTTAGTTTTAAGACGAGGAATAGGGGTGAAGATTAGCGTGCCCCCCACGACTCAGCCACCTCGATGGTGTTCACCCAGCTGACCCACGGCGTGAAGTTTCGCAGTTCCTCCGCGCTCTTTTCTTTGCACACCGCGGTGACGAGTGCATCCTGCACGTGCATGGGCATGTCCGGTACAAGGGAGGTGGGACTGACTCCCTACGCCATTTCGGAAGTTGGGGGTGAACGACCCGCACGAGAAAGGCCAAAGTTGCTGATGTATGTTCTGGCTGTCCACTTTGGGCCAAGCTCTCATTTTCCGCTTCTACCGATATAGCATGGACCTCGTAGAAACATACACCCTCTGAGTCTGCCCCGGCTGCAGAAGCATCCGCTTGTCTACATCTCGCCAGCCCAGATCCTCGAAAGCTGCTGTTCTCCAGCACGGGCGGCCCTTTCCGTATGGACAGCCCTGCACAGCAACGGGGACTCCAGCTCCGTGGTAGTTGTATGAGAACAGGCTGACCCACGCCCAGCCTCGATACTTAGACGTTCGCCCCCTGGATCAGTACAGCCACAAGTCTCCTTGACAGGGCCGCTTGATGTGACGAAAAGGGCATGGGAGTGGAGCAAAGTCTTAGCAGGGTTCAACCGGCAGCTCAGCAGTTTCCCTTCAATGCCCAGGCTCAGAGCAAAACATTCGCACTGTGAAGCCAGTTCCATCGTCGTTTGTCCACCCCGGCATCTTGGTTACGGAGTTGCCTGGGCTTTTAGATGGCCAGGGCTCTTTGTGGGGCACAGCTCCAGTATGCTCCTTCACTGAGCTTAGATCTGGGACGAGCCGCAGTATGGCTTTGCGTCAGCGCAGCCTCGAAGGCTTTGATTACCCACCGCATTCCTCAAGTAGTTCAGGATCGGCTCCTGGTGACGTCGGGCGAATGTGTGCGCGACGGAAAGAGTGGCCCTGAACAACAGGTCCTGGTTGCCGATGTCTCCACAGTCTGTGTTGTAGGCATCCACGGTTTCCTCCAATGATAGAACAGAGGCCTCTGTCAATCTGCTCCTTGGAAACACGAGGCTGAGCACTGGGGCCGCTATGGAATCAGCTCAGCAAGACATGGGCTCAGCAGCCCGTTGATCCGACGCTCTCCAGTACCACAACTTCCCACTCTGATGGCAAGGCTCACCTCTCTCACCCAAAATCCGTACTCCGTCTCCTTGGCAACAGCGCAGGCAAACTGTAACCCTGCACAGCCATGTACCCTTTTCGCTTTGAAGGAAGACCGGTTTGCATGCCTGGCCTGAGTCCACTCCAGCCCGGAACAACGATTTTGGCAAAAGCTGGCTCTGATCTTCCTCAAATTTCCAAGGCGCTTGGATAGCCTCCAGATTGGGGATGCCGTCAACTGTCGGTAAACCCTCTGCCTCATCCACGGCCAGGAACCTTGAGCAAGACATCAGATTCGTGCTTGTTTCCATGCAGCGGACAAACCACCATCAAACTGAAGAGTATTGCTTGACTGTTCTTTCGCACCTTTTGAAGCCTCTGTGCCCTCTAGGTTCCAGCTCCAATATATCCAAGCATCTGGATGGAGCCAGAGAGGTTGTCCCAACCACCCCCAGTCGTCGGCGACATTAGCACGACCCTGCCTTGCTCCGACACTCCATGGCATCACGATGCTGCCACTCAAACTCCCAAATCAGATGTCACTGCTAGCAAGTCTTCTGTGATCGTGGCATGGCAAGCCCGTTCTACTGTTTGGGCTATGATGCCGAGTCACGCTTATCGAGGGTCCAGACGAACTGATGTGCCCCGCCGCACATTGCAGTTGACACGTCTGTAAGGGTCTGAACAATGGGAGCCAGCATCGTGAAGTAAATCCTGGGCTTTCCAAAGCGCGTGGCTTCACCACTGGGATACCGCTGCCCATCTTGCCAATGCCGTGAGTTGATGAAGCTGAACCACAATGAATAAACAATTAATACTCCGATGGCTTTTAGACTGCTGTTGTTGCAGCGGAGGTCGCGACTGACAGAATGGATAGAACTGTGTGTGTGTGTGTGGATGATTCGCGGCCGGCCGAGAACTGTTTCACTGCTCTGGTTGGTTCTGCTGCCGTAGTCATCGTCATAGCTCATCAATTCTTTATGTGCTGTCATTCCCTCTATCTATAATCTCTCTCCTCACGTAAGTAGGGGGAGTGTATGGTGGGCAAGTGGATTCGTCCAAGTATCCGTAGAGGATGTGCTTGTAAGCTATGCCACACATGTGCAGCGTTCCCATCATTCATTATTTGCTTGATTTCAGAAGTTCCAAAGCAAACCTCTGCTGCCCAGAGTCAGTATAGTGAGTCCTGGGATCCTGAGCATCGAAAACGGAATTCGTAACCACAAGAAAGAGCCTACAGCGTGATCAATAATGCAACTCTCTGGCTACACGAAACTGTACATGATTCTGCAGAAACGACTCCGATTTAGCCATGCTGTACTAGTCTGTGTCACACAACCTCAGCATCCGGCATGATAGGGACACATCTCTCGAGGCTTGAGTGCTTCTCAGGCGCAGGAAACTCATGGTCATCGACTTTGCGTCGGCACCTTCGCCAGCAGAGCTTTAGGAACATCAGCACTCGTCTGTCCCTCGTTTGTCATGTACATCCCTGTGCATCGCAGTGATATCTAGCTAGATGTGGCATCATCTGCATATGGCAATGCGTGTCCCCTTGCTCGGCCCGTTTCTTCAAGGACGTGCTTGCGAGATAGGCATTGATCGTAGCGTTTGCTACAAAAAGGCATCCACCCGCCTCGAAACCGAGGGAAGGAAGGCATGGGCAGCGAGTCCAACTGGTGGACCTGCAAAGACGAAACTCGATCTCTCTCCCTCTCTCTCTCTCTCTCTCTCGACCTCGCTCTCTCTCTCTCTCTCTCTCTCTCTCTCTCTTTCTCATGTGATGAAGCCTTTCTCATGTGATGAAGCTGGAGACTCAGAAGTGACATGGCGGTGACATGCCGGCTGTGGCCCCCGTGGTTCCATTTCTTGGCGTGGTCGCCGAATCCCGCATCATGCTGATTGTCGTGATGAGGGGCCATACTGTTGACCAGCGTCTACAGGTGGACACGAACGCTGCTGGACACTATGTACCTCCAAGAACAAAGCGGTGAAACACCTTCGACCCTCTTCATCTTTGAACAATCGTGGATTTGCCGGGCATACTTCTCAAGGTGCCTGCCCTGAGCTCCCCATCGCCCTGACGAATGTCAATTCCTGTCCTCATTTGTCAGCTTGCTACATCCGTTGATGCCGAGTCACCAGATGTCGGCCAGGTGTTGTAGCGAGAGCATCGAAAAGTAGATCCTGAAGCCGCTTTGAAGCTTTGGACTCGTTGCAGGAGCTTGTCATGCAGCAGGAAGAAGCAAGAATCAGCACAGCTTAGATTTCCACCTTACCTAGTTTCATCACGACATAAGTCAAATTGAACATCCGAACCCCCAACCCACCACTTTTGAGCTTGGGGTCATCAATGTCTAAGATGATGCCGAGGGCAACTGCCTGCAGGAGGGCCAGCAAGTGAGTCTAGCATCTCGCCAGAAGGCTCCCAACTAAGCATACCAGTGCTAGAGTCGAGGAGGTTTGGCTCTAGGGCTTCTAGGGCAGGGCTTATAAGGTTCTCGAGTTTTGGTTGCCTCCCGAGGCTGAGCTCGCATCAAGTGCTGAACTCGTGGAAGATTTCCTAGAGACCGAAGCCCCAGAGTCGCAGCTCAGCCATGTTGAGATATGTTGAGATCCACTACTCAAAACCGTCCCCTCCAACAGCGCATCTGTAAACTCCTTGCGGTCGAATCCCCCCCACTGCGCTGAGGCAAGCACGTTCAGGATGAGCTCTGTGACGTTAACAGTGTAAACCTCGGACAAGTGATCTTGCGAAGTAGGGAAACGCCTACTGACTTGGTACTCGAAGCAGCTACCCTCCTGCTCACAGTCCAAAGCAGCCTCGCAGCCAAGAAGAAGGTCCCGACATAGATCAACAGGCCAGCGGCAACCAACCGATACAATAGGAGAATTGCACTGATAATCTTTCGACGCCGCGAAACCGCGGTGAGCCTTGGGGCAACACATGAATCGCAATGAACTTGCATCAAAAGCTGTCCAAATCTGGAGTGTCAGGCTTTGCCTCAGCCGAGGTACCTGTAGTGTGTCACCTGCCCGGGAGATTCAATCTGGGGCCTTTAGCACTCGCGGGTTGTAACCTTATGGGATGAACGTGACGACAAACATCTTCAGAACGATTTCTTCCGTCTTTCAACCTCCCCCCCCGACAATTGCAATCCAGATCCGCCCGCACCTGCGTGAACGGATTCCTGAGCAGTGGCGCATGATCATGACATAGAACTTGCATGGCCTATTCTAGGGTCTTCAGCGCACAACAGCTACGGCCTGCCAAACTCTACATACCTGGTCCACGAGACTGAGGAGAATTCGGCTGCCCGGTGCTTTCTCAGCACAGTGTGCCGTGATACCCAAATATAATTACCCAAAACGCTTTCAGAGTCCGACGCAAGCAAGGCGGCCGCGAGTCTCTCTTGTGAGAAGCGTGGTCGGGCCGCGATTGACCGAGGCGATGCCACGATGCAGGGCAAGCGCATGGCTCACCTGCTTCCAATCCCCCGACTTGGCTAGCAGAGTCAATTGTTGGTGGGAATGCAGCTTCGGCAGCTTTGGCGTCATATATGCAGGGAGTCATGCCACGAAGACAATATGACTAAAGACACTCTTGGCGAAGGAAGCGAGGGACCAGGCGCCCGCACCGAAGGCAGCTCGAATGTAATGAGTTTCCGAAGAGTCTCAAGCAGTGCTGAAGACTTGCGGCCTCCTTTGCAACCATGAGGTACCAGCCTCAAGTCGTGGAGAGTGCTCTTGAGACGGGGGACTCCTCTGTAGTTAAGCTACTCGTGAAGGGAGCTGCGACGTATGAGATCCTCTTTTCCAGATGAGCGGCAAATCAGTGCCACCAGACCTTGCCAACAGCCCGGAGAAGCGCTGAGCAGAGGTCAGCAGTGTATACTTGCCAAGCTTGGCATCAAGTTTGCCAAAAAGCCCTTCGCAAAGGACACAAAGGTATACATGCAAAGTTTGGTAGCTGACTTTTCCTCCTCTTCTTTCCAGATTATCACATTGCCACATAACTTCACAAAGTCTTTCACTTGGAAAGTCGTTCTGGAAATTTTGCCATTTGGATTGGTTTGCAAACGACTCTTGTTGAATTGCTGATGACATGCTGGTGAATCTGAAGATTGGCTTGCAACGAGTGCGTCGGAGTGTTGTACGATGTGGTGCTGGCTACAGGATCGGCCGCTGAGTGAACGTGCTCGAGAACAAGCGCTAGGAAATGTTTCGAGTGCGGCTGTTTGAAACGAAGCCTTCGGGCTCCGTAGGTCCTTGAAGATTGTTCACGGTAATCTTCGGAGATCCCATCCGCACTTCCGCAAGACTGCAAATCTCGCGTTCGAGCTTGGTCTGTGCAGCCATGTCACAAAGAACCTGGCCCGTGAAGAACCGTTCCACACCCACCGCTTCAGGCTTGATGTACTTTCCTGTGCGACTGATCTAGCGGCTACAGTGTCTCAAACCTGCACATGCCGAACAAAGTTGGAGCCAACAGTTGGGATAAGGAGATGCAAGGACATCAGAAGCACGACCCAGCCGATGTGCAAGATCTGTAGCCATGCAAGTAGCGTGACGCCAGGAACCGTCAGGAGTGGTCAGAGAAAGAGAGAGGGAGACAGAGAGAGAGAGAGAGAGAGAGAGAATGGCCACTGGATTTCCTTTCCAGCTTGGCCTGGGGAAAACCTCCTCTGCCAGCGCACTTGGCTGAGCGTGCACCAAGCGCAACGCTGCCAAGCTTCTGCTGAGGCGCTTAATTAAGTGGGCTTCAAGAGTTTGACCTTGAATAACCAGCACTTGGACAAGTGGCGAATGTTCTCGTACATGCTCATCTGGATGCCAGAAACCGGCAGTGACCTCTGTGTCATGCACTCGAGCTCCGTCGATTTCGTCCGAAACAAACTGTCTAGGGCAAACTTGCATGCCGCCAGGACATCAGATCTCCTGCCTGCACTCGCTCTGGTTCGTATGAGGCACTACGCAAACTGTGCTTGCCTTTGAGACACGAGCACATAGCTGTGACAGACCAGGGTGCTTGTCCAACTGGCAGACACGTGCCACCAAGGAGGACTTCGAAACATCATCATACTCAGAAAGCGCATGTCCTTGCAACTCTGAGTGTCAAAACCAGCTTCGCTCAACTGCCCGACCGAAGCTTCTGCCGTCCTGAGGAACGTCGCCAGCGAAGAGTGTCTTCGATGGTTTGCGGAGTGATATCCGGGTCGGTGAAGTTGAACAAGGCGATTCCCACGAAAATCCCTTGCCTCGAATGCGTCTGCTGACTCAGGTCTTGCCATGCAGACCCCACTGTTGCTGCTGAGCAACTGATGCAAGCTCGATTCCCTGTTTCGCTCCGAAACACAACATGATGCTCAAGAACATCTCCGTCCGTCTGCATTTTCCTGAAATTCACGGCCTACCTCTCCGACCACCGTAGTTCCGGATCATCGCAGCTCTCCCGACTCCGTTTGCCTTTCCAAAGCTCCCAAAAATTGCAGCCAAAGTGCATGACGACATTTACGATCCTTGCTTCCAGACAAAACTTCCGCAGATTGCAGAAAATCTACCACTCCAAAGATGCCGCATCCACATCAGGCATTCTAGGCACCGCTTAAGCATCCACCAACACGGATCAGGGACCTAAGTAATGACTGCTGACTGCCGAAGAAAAAATGCCCAAGTTTCGCCAAAATGAAGGTTTGCAGGGAGCCCAGCGGTCCGAGAGCCTCAGCTGCAAAGTGGATGATGACACAAACAGGCACCATTTGGGGTCCGCCGCCTAGTCGGGGGACTCGGCTGCCGTGAGTTTGGACTGGACCCGGTCCTTGTGCCCGTTGGTATACCAGTTGTCCCGGTCGAGTCTGACTTGAGTTGTTCCCGTTGTGTCACGGTCGTGGTAGTTGCTCGAACGAGTGCTATCCGTTGGCCACGTGAGGGCTCCGGCACATGCAAACGTTGTGTCACAGAAGATCTTGTTGCGGTTGAGAAGCACCAGTGCCGATGAACATGAAGAGATCCCACGTGGATTCTCCAAAGGAGTAGTACTCCTTCACAACAAACTTACTAGGAAACAGGAAGTTGCACAGCTTTCCCTGGGTCTCTATCTGCAGTCCCCTTTCGAAACTGCATGGGCACTCACTTCGGACAGTGCTGGCTCTGCACTTATTGACATGGCTTGCCCCTTGGCCCTTGCCCGGCTCGGTATTACGCGGCAATCCTGAGGTATGACCTTGCTTCGCGAAAAACAGGCAGACCGACAGGCCTGTGTCTGCGTGTCCAAGGTTCGCTCGTTGATTTGGGTGACCTGCACAAGCAGTTTGAGTGAGAGCAGCTCTGCCAACGTGTTCGACTATTTCTCTCTGTCTCTCGCTCTCTCTCTCTTTCTTTCGCGAGGGCTATACTCTCTTTCTTTTTTCTGCAGGGTGTAGGGGTCGGTTGTCCCGACCCTCATGCCTTTGGCCCGCGCCCACACCCAGGCTATACTCTCCCTCTCTCTCTCCCTCCCTCCTTTTTTGTGGTTCCTTATCATCCTTTGTGACTGTGTGGGCAGCCTAGTAACAGGTCAAGCCTTCGCCAAACTCGCATGTCGAAGCTAACCACTTCCCTTCTATACCTCCTTACCTTGCATACGCCTGTCAAAGCCTGTCCTGCAGATTGCAGACTCGCGCGTTTTTCGGGGCCCTTCTCCAGAGCAGCGCAGGTCTACGGCAGGATCCTCCAAGATCCTTCAAGCACAAGTCCAAGAGTAGAGTGACTCAGAGTGTGCGTCCCTTCTCTTTGCTTGTAGAGCATGACACTCTCTAATTTCTGTATCTGTTTGCATCGCTCGCGCCTCGTTACCGGACTTTGCCCTCTCATGTCCCGAACGGAACCGCACCGTCCCGTCCAAACTTGCATTCACAGACCACGGCCTCCTGCACGCTCCCCCGAACGCCCCCAAGAGCTTCGTACTCCCTTGGCTTGATCGATGTGGCACCCTCTCTTTGGCAACTTGCCGGCCTCCTTTCTCGAAAAAATGGCAAAAGCCAAAGGCGTCTGGACCACGGAAAGCATGCGCATGCGCCGTCACAGGTTCGGAGTCCGCACGAATCAATGGCTTCTTGATTGTCATGCTGCACCCCTTAAACACGTTATCGGGAGGGCAGCTGGCCTTGGCCGTGGAGATCGTTTTCCTCTGACCACGTCCGGTCCGTGGTTTCAACTGTGACGCGTTGTTCTCCTTGTCCATGCTGTTGTTGTCTGCGCCTGACCAGGCTGCAACAGAAATTGCCTAGGGGATTTAGCTGAGGTGAGCTCTGAGAGATTCCTTTCCAAGTCCCGGCATCAATAAGGCAACAGACCCCCGAAGTAGAGGTCCACGGAACCATCCTGCTTCATGTCCCTAAGGCTAAGACTCTCGAAGGCTCCCATGTGTTGTTTAAGAACTTCCCTTCACTTTCGATATGCCGAACCTTTCGTCCGAGCAGAAAGCACTTCAATCCTGTAGACGCCTGCTTTCTCAGGAAAGCCCTCCGATTTCTTGCGATGACCCCACAGCATTTCGAGAAGTCTAGAAATAAGCATCATGCCAGTCAAGAGGGCTCTATGCCTGGCGTCAGGAAACGTAACCAATCCAATATGTCGATACGAAAGAAGTAGCCCCAATACACATGAAGTCTCAAAGGCGTTCACCCGGATCCGGTGGATCTAAATCCTAAACCCTAAACCCAATGTGGTCTGAGACCTGGTGAGTTAGAATCGGACAGAGGTCTGGCTGCAAAACGGGATGAACTAGTGTTGAAATTTTGGGTGTTTTGATGTGGGCTTAAGGCTTGGGGCTTACTGCAGGGTTTAGCCCGAGAAGCGGGTACCTCCCCCCCGCCTTCTCCGACAAGCACCCCTTCCAAGATCTCTGAGACATCATCATCTTCTGGAGGTTGGAGGGGCGAGGGGCCTCACAGGCAAGCTGACCAGAATCTATTCCGCGGGGCCTTGGCCAGGGCTGCTGAGGTTCAGTCAGTTTAGTAACTTCTGGCACTTCCGCTTGAACAAACATCATCCATACGAATCCGCTTCCGCGGAGTCACTGTCACGAGGCCCTCCAAACTACCCGCCTGAGGCTTCTTTTCCCCACTTCGGTCCCATTATTCGGGTCGTATCTTCGGTGTCCACGTCCACACTCTTCAGGCTCCGCCCCTTGAGGGTCTCCTGCATGACCTCTCACAGGGCTGTGATCTCCTTTTCGCAAGAGGCTCTTCATCATCCATCTTCTACTCTGGGTCAGGCTCGCTACTCAAAAGCAACAGCCCTGCTTCTTTCAACTCTGCCGTGAACAGAACTCCTTCCCCCCCAGCCCGGTGCAGCCAACTTCAGGCACCTTCACAATCGCTTCCAAGCCCTCCACACGCTCGTCGACGCTGCCAACAGTGGCCTGACAGTCCACGGAACCGAGAAGACCCTGTGTAGCTGCACGAGGGCTTTCAAGAAGCTGTTTGCGCAAGTAGACAAAGTGTGGCCGGAAGAAGTCAGAGCAATGGACAAGATGCGGACTTGTCATAGCTACATTGCTACCCTTGGTTTAGCCTCCAAGTAGGGGCGATCTCCAAGCTCAGAACAAGCCTTGCGTACTTATGGAGCCGTCCTGGCTGCAGCGAAAGTGGCCTCCAGCGAGTCGAAGCGCTCTTCGATTTCCGTAATGATCTGGTGATCATTCAGATAGCCTCGGCTCAGCTCTTGGGCAGGAGTTCTCATGAAAGCCACAAGAGCTAAAGAGTCTGCCAAGCTTCTCGACATGGATGCACGGCCGGCGGCCAACCGCACAAGCTCCGGCTTCTGGCTTGTAGCGACTCCTAGGTTTTCGGCTGCCTTCAAATCATGGTGTCAGCCTTCACAGCCACAACCTCACAGACTGCGACTTCCGACTTCTCAGAAGCAAATCCAAGAGTCGAAAGGTGCGGAGCTGCAGCTGGCACGAATCGAATAAAGGTTGGACCGCAGTGGCTGACGAGGGCCAGAGAGAACAAGCAATAAACTCAAGCATCGGGCGCTGCAATCTGCATGTTGTGATGCCCCTTGCTCGAAAGCTAGAGTCGTCACAACGACTTCCGCAAAAGCTACCTCCAGTCCAAGAATGCACTTTGGCGTCACGGACAACGACTTAACCAAGGCGAGTAGCCTGCATGAATGCTTGACCCAGTTCTTTAGTTGTAAAAAATGTAGAATGGCGAGACCACCCACTGTTCTTATGTGCTCAAGCCCTGAACCTATGAACCGGCCGTCCACATTTCAGGCACCGGCACCAGTGCTTGGAGTGCGGGGTCTCGACATCCTCACGACGTTGATTCACTGGTGTGCGCATGAGGAGTCTGCTTGATGCTACTAGTGTTGCGATTAGTATTACAATTATTAGCAGTTACTAGCACATTACTGCTGCTACTACTGATTACTAACTCTATTCAAAAACGCAGTTCTTCACGCTGTTCTCGGACTGATGTGCATGCCTTTGCACACTTTGGAAATGTTGCCGGAATCAAGTCTGACGCAACGAGCTGCAGGAGACATGTCAGAGACATGGCTTTGCCGAATATAAAAGCTGACGACGACGACAACGATGAATGCAACGAAAAAACGACGACGTGACAACGTTGAACTCGGTTGCTGAGCGGCCATCATTGCAGCAACATTTGTCAACCGCCACGACCACGAGTCGAGGACAACTGTCGCCGATCTGAATCTTCTTCTACCGCTACTCCCCACATTGCTGCTGCTACTGCTGCCGCTGCTGCTGCTGCTGCTTTGCGAGTCACACTCGGCAACAACAAGAACAATTGGAGCGCCCGATCACTCAAGACGTTTCACCATCCTGCTCCCACGGCCCTTTTTCTGTACACCCTGAGGTCGTGACGAGCGAGCACGGGAAGCACTGGACGGCCTGGAGTTTCCCTGCGTGCAAGCTGTTGTTCTTCATAAAACTTCGTGGTGGGTTGAAGCTGACGTGTATCTCGTCGGGCAGGCATGAGACAAGGGATCGGGTGTGCATCAAGGCAACGTTGTCTCCTGCAGCATGTCCGTGCCCCGTATGGCTGCCAACTAATCGTCTCGAGCTATATCACTGGCAAGAAGTACAAAATCAGCAAGCTTCGGCATTTTAGCGCCACAGCACCAACCGGCTCGAGCAAATGTAGGGAAAACCACATACAAGCAGATCTGCGGAACATGCATGCGAAGTTCTCACATGCACTTCCGCGCGATCGCTCAGGTTGCAGCAGGGTCTGCCCGCTTCCCTGAACCATGTTCATCAAGGTGAACGGCAGGTTCGCCGTCGAAATGGCACACTCTGTAAAACTCTTTCTCTTCTGGCTCGGTGCTCCTCTCTGCATCGCCGGTAAACTTGTGATATAGCCTTGGCACCGTGCCAACATGGCACGTCACGCTCATGTCTGAGTGAGGCAATGCATGCGGCAGCGGCCGTGGCCGTGGACAGCTTGGCAGTGCACTTGGTGACTAGCATGATCTCGGAGATGCCTCCAAGCCGGCAGAGTCTGCTCACATGGGAACAGGGTGTTTCTTGTGACGCTCGCCTTCGATGCAGCTTGAAAGATCCGGTCAAGGGAGCGTGCAGAGCGCTCCGGCCTTGCTTTAGAGCCTCTGGGCTTCTTGTAACTTTGGCGGTCAGATGCCTTGGAGTCAGAGACCGAAGACTCCAGCTTGAGCTGGCCTGAGACTCTGTCAGGAACCCATGAACCATTTATGCGTGAGCCGCAGATCATCACCCAGATAACCTTCGAAAGCATTGGCGGCAAGATCCGCCCCGTCCAAGCTCCAGCTGCCGGTGGCCTCCTCACCTTGAGACATCAAGCACAGTTCAATCAGAAACCCTGAGCCGATTTCAAAAAAAAGGGAGTCCCTATCTTCATGAGCAGTGCTCTCAAAAGTTTGCAGCTGCGCCCCGAAATGAATAACAGCAGAGACAGGCGTCTACGTTTGAAGCTTACTGTGCAGCCCGCAGTAAGCGATTTCCAGCTGAAATGCCTGCCCCAATCCTAACTTGCCGCTTCAGTCTTGCGGCTGGCCCATTCCGCTGCAGTTCTCTGCGGGCAGCTTCGCATCAGCGGATCATCCCAGTAGTCATCGTACCAGAGAAACCTGGATTGGTGCAGCTCTACAGACAGAGGCTCCCAAATGCAGCTGGGATGGAGCCCGTCGTGGACCGCGACGATGGATACTTGGCTTCGTGGGATTGAGTGTTTCTGTTCAGGCCATCAGGTCTAGCATCCTAAGGCTGTAAGGCCTTTGCCCATGACAGGGATTCGGAGCATGTCCTCTCCTATGCTTCCCTTTCCAGTTTGCTGCCCCCGGTCTTTCGAATCGGATGTCATGCTGGCACGAGGACGACTTCTTTCGACATCCCACGTGCTGCAAGCCTCTGCTTAAATGTGCTTGCAGGGATAATCGCGTGCCCGTTTAACTTAAACTAACCGCGCAGAGAAGGGAAAGTCTCAGGTTCTCCGAATTCGCGCGGGCAAGTTGCGCTGCTCGATGGTCCGGATGCAGAACGAGGATGCTGCAAGCCCATGCCGCATAGACACCGGCGACCTGGAGTTTGCAAGAAGTCGTTCACGAGCGGAAATCCCGCACGGCATACAATCCTGTGCTCAGTCTCTTCATAGCAGTAGCACGTGCATCCCTCTGCAGACGGGCAGGATGGGCCCCAGACAGTTTCTCGCAAGAAGACGGCCGTCAGTTCCTCACAATGTCACATTCTCTGACAGCCGAGAAGTGAGAAATACAAGTGAAGCTGCGATCTCCGCTTGAATATGAAATAATCAAGTGTATGTGTATATATATATATAAATATATATATATATGCATGTCAGCATCTCGGGCATACTGTACCCTGCATCGGTCAAGAACACACTTTCGGCTAAGATGGGGAGCACTGTGAGCTCCCTACTCCCCAAAAAGAGATTGCTAAAACAAGAACACAATACAAGACAACAACACCAGCACAAATCAACCTTGAACAACATTCTGGCCCGTCGATGTAGTTGTTTGCTTAGGCATTAGTGTTGTTGCCTTTTGTGCTTAATCGTTTTGTCTGTTTCATTTTTCCGTGAAGACAAAGCGAAGCAAAAACGAACAAGGCAACCGTCATTGATACACGACAGAACCAGACGGACACGAAACAAGCCCTCATAAGCGATGTTTGACATTTAATGCATTGTTTTTCTTGTCGCCTGGGTGTGGTGTTCACGTATGCTTGCCCATAAAGCTCAGTGAATGCCTCCAGCAGCTCTTCCTGTGTTCCCTTCCTTCGAAGTCTGAGGCAGAAGAAGCCTTTCAAGAAGCATGCACCCAGGAATAAGCAAATGACTGGAAGCCCGCACCAGATCGCCACTGCTCGCCAAATCGGCCAGGCATTCATTGCCCTGCGGCAGGTCTTGTGTCTTGCTCTGTGCCACCCAGATTCATGCGATATGACTCCGCCATGACAACGATACTTACGGCTAGATCGGTGCGATGCTAGCAGATTCTCAAACTAGCCTCAGCGCTTATGCCATCTCTGGGTGGGAAGCTACTGCAACGTGTAAACATCCATCTTGCGAAATGGCACACACCTGCGGCGCATGCTTCAACCTGTTGCAAGAAAGCCTGCACAATCTGTGCTTGGAATGGTGAAGCAACGGAACTTTGTAGGAGAGCAAGTTTGGCACCTTCTTCTTCGCTGCCGAACAACTTAGATTCCTCACGAAGCCGACGCTCCAGTGCACTCTCTTAGACTCTTGCAAGTTGTTTGTGCTCCTCTTATTTGAAGAAGTGGCCTCGTTTTTATTTGTATAGTCAGATACCTCCATGTAAGCATATGTGCAGCCTGTATGCTTGTGTATGTATAGTATAATCGTATATATAGATTTATGAGCACTGATCAATATTCCTTCTTTCGGAAATGAATCCTTCGCGGATTATTGCTTTCCTTTCGCGGGACTTTCGCCATCACTTTCGCACGACATATTGCTGGGACATATTGGTGGCGGTAGCAGTAGCAGTAGCAACAGCAGTAGTAGTTGTAGTAGCAGCAGCAGTGGTTGTCGTCGTCATCGGAGTGGTAGTGGTAGTGGTAGCGGTAGTGGTAGTGGTAGTGCTAGTGCTAGTGTTGGTGGTGGTGGTGGTGGTGGTGGTAGTAGTAGTAGTAGTGGTAGTAGAAGAAAAAGAAGTAGTAGTAGTAGTAGTAGTAGTAGCAGCAACAGTAGCAACAGTAGCAGTTGCAGTAGACGTGGCAATACAAATATGAGTAACAATAGTAGCAACTGTAGCTGTAGTAGTAGCCGTCATCGTTGTCGTCGTATCAAGCGTCTTAGTACTGGTAGTTTGGGAAGGAAAGAATACTGGAAAGAACAGTAGTTGTTGCTGTCCTGATGGTGGTGGTCACAATAGTCGTATGGTAGTGGTAGCGCCAGAGGGAAGTGCCAGTGCCAGTCGCAGTAGTAGTAGCAGTAGTAGCAGTAGTAGTGGTGGTAGTAGTAGCAGTAGTAGTCGTAGTAGTAGTAGTAGTAGTAGCAGCAGTAGGAGTAGTAGTAGTGGTAGCAGCAGCAGCAGCAGCAGCAGTGGTAGTAGTAGGAGTAGTAAGAGCAGTAGCAGTAGGAGTAGCAGTAGCAGTAGCAGTAGCAGTAGCAGTAGTAGTAGTAGTAGTAGTAGAAGGTAGTGGCAGTGGCGTGGCAGTGGCAGTGGCAG